TAGGGAAATGTACAAAGTAGTAATGACAGTTAGAACCATTGATTGCTACATAAGGCATGGATTAAGCACTCCAGAAATTGTGTATCTATTGGAAGGAACTGGGGAAAATGAGGAGAGTTCGGTTGGTTTAAAAGCTTCTAAAGCCGCATCAGATTCTGGCCCAAGTCCTGGTGTGAGCACACCTCACACAAACACCTCAGAAGTTCCAAATGGCTTTAATGCATTTTGTGAGGAAGTGTCAGAACATGATGCTACATATGAAGATGCGGAAGAGGATGAATCACATGAACATGTGGAAGGAGAATCCAATGAACAAGATGGTGATCATAACATTGGTGTGCAAGCTGAGGATTTGGAGGTCCCTTTAGTTGGATCTGATAATGATACTAGTGATGAAGAGTTCATAGAGTCCAGAAGAAAAGTGAGTGGATGGAATTCCATGATCCAAGATATAGCAAACAAGCTACAAAAGGAAGCAGCTGATGGTCTTCTAGGGCGTAAGACACAGCCTGTAGAAGAGCAAGATCTGGGGAAACAAGATTTTTTTAGTGATTATGAAGACTCTGAAAATGACTTGCTCACACCTTCTCAGAGTGAAATGATGGTACATTGTCCTTAAAGAGAGAAGGTAAAGCTATTCATATGGATGAGTATACTGACTTCAAGAAACTTAAATGGCAAGTTGGTATGAGATTTGAAAATAGGGACAAGTTTAAAGATGCAGTGGCCAAGTTTGCAATTGCTCAAGGTAGGAACTTGAAAATAAATGTGAGTTCTAATAATAGATAACAAAGGATAGGTGCAAAGTGTGTGGAAGAATGTCCTTTCGGTTGTACGCTAGCTAGGATAGCAGGATGGATTCTTTTGTAGTCAAGACTGTGAAGGGGAATCATACCTGCAATAGAAACATGAAAAAAATAGACAACTAAAGGCATCATGGGTTGCAGTTCAATTGTTGGAAGTTTTCAAGTCCAGGCCTCACTGGTCTGCATAAGAAATAACAGAACCCATAAGAAGAGCTTACAAAGTACTTATTTCAAGAGACTTTGCATACAAAGTGAAACAACAGGCGCATATGAATCTTCATGGCAGTATGAAGGAGCATTATAACAAGGTAGGAAGGTACTTAGAAGCTCTAATTCAAGCAAATCCTCAAAACCACTTTAAGTTGCTCACAAATCCATCCACAAAGGCATTCCCCCCACATTTCAAAGACTTTTTGTTTGTTCCAATGGTCTGAAAGAAGGGTGGTTGAGTGGAGGTAGGAAGGTTTTATGTGTGGATGGTTGCTTCATTAAGACCTTTCTAAGGAGGATGTTATTATCTACAGTAGGAAGAGATTCCAATGATCAGATGTTTCCATTGGCGTGGGCAGTTGTTGAAGGTGAAAATAACTCTAGTTGGGAGTGGTTTCTAAGTGAATTAAAAAAGACATTGGGTGATTCTGGAAGAGCATGCTACACCTTCATTTCTGATGAGCACCAGGTAATAGGTATTTCCATTTTAAGTTCATCATGATTATTAAATTATTTATTAATGCAATTTGTCTTATCTTGATTGTTACAGTCCATTTTGCATGGAGTTTCTTATGTGTTCCCTCTTGCAGAGCACAGACATTGTGCGAGACATGTGTTTGCCAATTGGCACAAAACACATAAAGGTGATGAATTAAAGATGATATTCTGGAGAGCAGCAAAGGCTTATAATGAAGCTGATTTTGTGGAGGCATTGGATGAAATGGGTAAAGTTAGTCCTGCTGCAGTTACTGCTTTTAGAGCATATAATCCCAGATGTTTTTGTAGAACCTACATTAAAACTACCACAAAATGCGATGTCATAGTAAGTAACGTGGCAGAAACGTTTAATGGGTACATTATAAATGATAGAGCTAAGCATATAATATTTATGCTAGAAGATATTATGGGTGCTTTGATGCAAAGAATGGTTGTTAAGAGGCAGGGTATGGAAAATAATGGAAGTTTGTTATGTCCAAGAATCCAAGCAAGATTAGAAAAATCAAAAGATGAGGCAGCCAATTGTACACCCCTACCCTCTAGTGAAATGTTGTTTCAGGTGTGGCATAGGCTAGATACTTTGACAGTCAATTTTGAGGCTAAGAGTTGCACTTGTAGAAAGTGGGACCTTAGCGGAGTTCCATGTTGTCATGCTGTTGCTTGTATGTTCTTCATGAATGTAGCACATGAGGATTTTGTTGATGAATGCTACACTAGACAGTCTTACATGAAGATGTATTCGGGTAGCATAGCCCCTCTAAGTGGTGAAAGGCACTGGCCTCCAATAAATATGCCCTTAGGTCCTCCACCAATTAAGATTGGTCTCGGTAGGCCTAGAAGAAATAGGATAAAGGCACCACACGAAAATCCAAAAAAAATCGGGTAAGCTGACAAAGCATGGGTGTGAAAGGCTTGTAGTGTGTGCAACTCAAAGACACATAACAAGAGAAAGTGTACGGGAAAAAAATAAGGCTACAGAACTAGAATCTCAACAAAAAAGAAGTAGGTGAAGGCCAAGAAAGGTGAGTCAGCCTGAAGCACACATAGAGCCTGATGCTACGACAGCCCAACCATCTAGAATAGGGAGAGGAGGAAGAGTGATTCATGGAAGAGGAGCCAGAGTTGGAAGGGGAGGTCAAGGAAGAGGACGCAACACACGAGGAAAGGGTAAAGGGTACGTACCGATTGGATTTGGAGTAATCATTGATGGACAAGGAAATGCATGGACTAATGTAATTTACTGTAATTATGTCTTATTCATTTAAGTACATTTACTAAGTACTACTAACAATTCATATCATTGTAGGATAGTGTGTGATTGATACATGTTTGTTGATTTTACAGAGTCTCGGGCAGCAAGGAGGACCAGTGAATGTATAACAAACAAGTACCTATACCTCTGCAGCTCCACCGGCTCATTCAGTGTGATTTGGAAGACTAGTATTTTATTTATGTAGTTCACAACCACTTATATGAACATTATGTTGTTGTACTCTAGTTTCTTGAGTGTATTTTGATCTAGTTATTGTGTAATTCTGAACCACTTGGAAGACAGTGGGGATCTTGGCAACCTGTGCGAATGGTATGTTGTTCTAATACCATTGTTGGTTATGTTTTCAATGGTTTATGTTATTCATAATCAATTATTAATAATACCGTATTTTTGTTTGACTTAATAATCTTGAAGTTGACTGGGTAGGAAGCATAATGATTCTGGAACAATGTTTTGTTATTTATAAACACTGAGATTGTATCTGTTGGATAAGTTGGTGGCAGTGTAATGAGTTCTGTTGTGTATCTCCTGAAGTGGTAAGGTCCAAAATAGTTGGCATTTTGTTTTGCCAATAATGGTGATGAAAACTTGATGCAAAAATACCTATGGCCAGCAAATATTGACAGCAAATAGAAGACTTCCTTTTGGTGCAAAAATTTGCTGCAAATAGCAGACTTCCTTTTGTATTAAACTTGATGAAAACTATCCAAATTTGCTGCAAAAATTTGACACCAAATAGTAGACTTTCTTTTGGTGCTATAACCAATTGTATCAGTACCATGTACTCATAATTCTAATAACACAACCCAAGTACTACAATCAAACCACCAACATAAAGGTTTAGTACAATCAAAGAAGTTTTACATCCAACCTCCGACATTAATAGTACACCAGTAATACTACCTACTAAACAACTCAATTCACTTATGATATAGTATAATGCTAAATAAATTCCATGAAACAATCAGCCAAACAAATGCAAGTTTCTCTCCCTTTACATGCTTTGAGGCCAAAATGCGGAAATCTTTCATTTTAGCTCCCATCTTTTCTTTCTTCTTTTCCAACTTCACAAGCTTCTCTCTTCCAAATCTTTTTTCTCCATCAACAGCTGTTGAATTAAATTATCCTTATCATTTGTCTTCTCTTCCAAAAACATAGAAGGGTTTTCCTCAATCCATTGGAAATAGGAACAAACATCTTTATGTAAAAAATGAAATATCATGTGTATCATCTTTACATACAGTGTAATATCATGTTTCAATTCTAATCAAAATCAGAATTCAATTACAAACTTACTGGCCATAGAGCACATCCGTAGAACCGACACCCAGTATTCGGGCCATTTTTTACAGTTCTAGACTTCGAATACACCTTATGGAAGCATTCAACACTTCGTTGATGTGAACCGTTGATTTCGGACCTGCTTCCCCACGAAGATGAACCACCTGTAGAAACCATTTTTAATTAACCTGATATTTGTTCTCTTCGAGCTCTTAGCTATGGCAGATTGGACGGAGCACAAAAAATTAAGAAGGTTTATGGAAGGGGGTAGCGTATGAAATGGAAGAGAAGAAGAATGAAAGGTTTTGTACGGTGTCGTTTGGAAATAAAATTGTGTTTCTCACGTGACTTTACCGGCTAAGAAGGGAAGGAATAGGTTGTCAGCCGGTTGGGACCATTAGTAGAAAAAGCCCAATTAAGTTAAGACCACCCAGTAATAATCAATTATTGGGATTATTAAAAGCGGAACGAGCATAGTTGGGATTATTAAATCCAATTTTTCCTAGTAAAAAAATCACATAATTAATGTTCAATAAAAAAAGAAAGGATTTATACATTTAATTAAAGAGAAATTGTGCTGGGTGAATATATTGACGGTGCTGGGTTGCAGGAAAAAATGATTTGACTGAATGAATACGTATAATGAGATGAAGAATTTGATTTATTGACGGAACGGAGCTGTGGGCAGCCTTATTGACCCACTTTACACTTGTCAAGTACTGTATTAGGTAGTACAATAAAAAATGGTAGATTCTATGGTATCCTCAATGTACCATGCCTTTGTCCACATGGACCAATCAAAATGATGTAGATGAATTATTTAAATCTAAATTAAAAAATGATGTAATGATTTGAAGTGATCAAAATTAGGCTGTACATTACCGTATAACTTACGCACTCCCCCAGTCCCCCGTGGTCCACTATCTCAAATTCAGAGGTTTAAGCTGTGGAGATGGAGGAGAGAATCACATCAACTGTGAGAGTCGCCCACATTCCCCAAACCGCCATAGCCCGAGACCTTCTCGCTTCCCTCGAGTCGGTCGTAGGTCAAGATTCTGTCTTCGCTGTAGAAATCTTCACGGAGCGCAAGAACTGGAAATCCAGAGGCCACGGCCGAGTCCAGTTCGAGTCCCTCAAAGAAAAGCAGCTCGCTCTATCCCTCTCGAGCCAATGCCGTTTCTCTTTTAAAGGCTCCCGCCTCTCTATTACCCACTCCCATGATGACATCATCTTCCGGCCAGTCAATCCCGATAACAGGTTCCGGAATGGGGTCCTGTATGCTGGGTTCATGGCCACGAGTGACGCCATGTGGTTCATGGAGTCCTGGAAGAATGTCATGACTTGGGTTATGCCCGAAAGAAGGAGCATTGAGTTCTGGCTGAATAGCCACAGTGGTGAGTGTTACAAGCTTGAAGTCCAGTTTGGGGATGTTGTGGAGACGTGTAGGTGCTCTCTTGGAAGTGGGAATCGTAATGTCGTTCTTTTCAAGGTATTAGTGTCTTTTTTCCCATTTCAATTGTGAGAATTTTATCACTACTGTAGATTAGATTAGGGCACTGAAGCAACATATAAGCCGTTGGAAAAATCATATTAATGCTCCTACGCTAATTGGTATGTGATTTTTTTATACGCAAGCAAAAGTCTTTTATCAATTGATTTTACACAATCTTTTTTATATATGAATTTGTCTCCCTTTTTTGAAGAACTCCTTTACCAAATACCAATCTAAGTCATTTCTGATCTCATTCATGCTAAGCTTAAAGTTGTCATCTTTTTTTTTGAAGTAAAACTAGTTAAATATTATTAATCAAATCGTCGTCTAACGAAACAGATATACAAGTGGGATAATGATAACGCCAAACATATAGGTCAGGCATAGAAACACTTTTTATTTTTCTTTTTTGTCGTCTTTTAAATAAAGGATAGAAAGAAGGCAAATTTAAGAATGATTCAATGCTCCTTTCGTAGAAAATGTAGTATTTTGGAAGTTTCTTCAGGAGGGTGGATGTTCAACACTGCATCTTTTTATCTTTTTAATTGATGGAATCATGTTCTTCACGACTATGCTATCTAGCCCCCCACCGGGGTTTCTTCTTTACTCCCTTGTCACTAATTACTACACTATAAATCTACCTCTTACCCCTGGTTGTAGCTTGAGTGGAGGGTGTGGGGGACTTGAAGTCATGCCTAGCTTGCATGTAGGAGTTCGGATCCTGCCAAAGCAGTGACCTCTTGCAACCTTCTTGAATTACCACTTGCAGTGTATCTCCTCTAAGTCCCCAGGGCATGGGGAAAGGGGCCCTGGGGGTGGGGTGCACCAGTTTTAGCAAACTGCCTCTTTTTCCCCTTCAACTTTTGAGTTAACAAGTTTTAAATTTTCAGCTTAAATTTGCTCCGAGGATATATCGAAAAGTCTCTGGAAGTGATGTTGCATCCAAATTCTCCACTGATAGGTACCATATCTGCAAAGAAGATTTTGACTTTCTATGGGTTCGTGCAACTGATTTTTCAGATGTGAAGTCCATTGGATATTCATCATCTCTTTGTTGGGAAATTGCCGAGGGATTATCAGACTCTGATTTATTTTCCATATTACCGTATTATAATAAAGATAAGGATGTGATGGATCTGTATCTTGAAAAAAGAGAACTTTCTTCCGAAGCTGCTCTTGTTCCCCTTGTGAAGTCCCCACCCGATTATACACTGGCATATGAAATACTTTTTCAGCTCAACTCACTTGTACATACTCAAAAAATCAGTCTTGCTGCAGTTGATGCTGATCTTGTTGAGTTTCTTAGCGACTTGCATTTTGACACTGCTATGGGCGAATTAGTAAACATGCATAATTTGCAAACTACTTGTTACGAACCAAAGACATTTATAAGAAATCGGTTGCACGCTTTAGGAAGAAGTTGTGCAAACATTCTTTCGTCCACTCCCAAGAAGCCCGGGAATCAGAATATGATGAGTGTCCATAGAGCCTATGTTACCCCTTCAAAAATTTATTGCTTGGGTCCTGAGCTTGAAACCTCCAATTACATTGTCAAAAATTTTGCTGCTTATGCTTCAGATTTCCTTAGGGTGACTTTTGTAGAAGAAGATTGGGGTAGGCTTTCTGCTAATGCTGTTTCGACAAGTATTTCACGCGGCATCTACTCAAAACCCTATAGAACTGACATCTATGATCGCGTATTGTCTGTTCTCCGAGATGGGATCACCATTGGAGCTAAACATTTTGTTTTTCTTGCTTTCTCGGCTAGTCAGCTACGTTCAAATTCTGTTTGGATGTTTGCTTCTAATGAGCATGTCAAAGCAGAGCATATTAGAGATTGGATGGGGTGCTTCAACAAGATTCGCAGTGTTTCAAAATGTGCTGCAAGGATGGGACAGTTGTTCAGCACCTCATTACAAACAATGGAGGTTCATCCACAGCATGTTGAGGTCATTCCTGATATAGAAGTTACGTGTGATGGTGTTGAATATTGCTTCTCGGATGGCATTGGCAAGATATCTGAAGATTTTGCCATGCAAGTTGCTCAGAGTTGTGGGTTGAATCATATTCCATCAGCATTTCAAATACGTTATGGGGGCTATAAGGGTGTATTAGCCGTTGACAGAAATTCTTTCTGCAAGTTGTCTCTACGCAGTAGTATGCTCAAATTTGAATCAAAGAATATTATGCTTAATATAACCAAGTGGAGTGATGCTATGTCTTGCTACTTAAACCGTGAGATTGTTATCCTTTTATCTACCTTGGGGATAGAGGATAGAGTGTTTGAGGAAATGCAAGAGGCACATATGAGTCTATTGGGTAACATGCTGACAGATAGACAAGCAGCACTGGATGTCTTGGAGAGCATGGGCGGGGGCGAAATAAAGAGAATCTTGGTGAAGATGCTACTTCAAGGTCTTAAGCCTAATGTTGAGCCTTATCTCTCAATGATGCTCCAATCACATTTTGAAAATCAGCTCTCTGACTTGAAAACCAGGTGCCGAATATCAGTACCCAAGGGTCGAATTGTGGTAGGGTGCTTAGATGAAACAGGGATTTTGAACTATGGTCAGGTTTATGCTCGATTAACCTTGAACAACACAGAACTTCAATGTGGTGAACAGAGTTTCTTTCATAAGGTGGATGATACAACTGCAATAGTGAAAGGCAGGGTAGTTGTAACAAAAAACCCTTGTCTTCATCCTGGAGATGTCAGGGTACTTGAGGCTGTATGTGAGGTGGCATTAAAGGAGAGGGGCCTTGTGGACTGCATCATTTTCCCTCAAAACGGAGAAAGGTGAAAACTATTCCTTTTTATAATGCTCCCCAAATATGTTTTGATTCATGTTTGTTTAATAGGGTATGCCATTTATTTTTAGTCAATCCAATAAAAGCAGAAGCTTATACAACTTAAGTTCACTATACCCCTAACACTTTTCTTGATTTAAACAGATTGACTTATCATTTTCATTTACCCCAGTGCCGCAAAGGCTCCCACCTACGGTGGGGTAAGGGGGGGTCGGATGTACGCAGTCTTACCTGTACTAAAGCACAGAGAGACTGTTTCCGGATGACCCATAGTGAAAATCGCGTCCAAAATTGCATGGACTGACTGCTGCTCCATAACAAAGAAGCGCAAACAGTTTAGTGAGCCATTTTGCTTTATTCCATCATAATCTCAAGCCAAAAGATAATGAATCTTTGGCTCCATTGCAAATGATGGAAAAAACAGATTGACTTTACACTATTACTAAAAATTAATTTGAAATCTGAAACCAGACGATTTATGGAGGGAATTCTGCTGCACCAACGTGACAACAAAGCATTATAGCTGCTATGCTAGGGTTTGATTCTTAGAGCATCACAGAGTAACATGATTATTGATGTAATTTTACTGAACAATCCTCCTGAGGATGAGTATTTACAAAAGACGGTAATATTGACCAAATATATGTGCCAAACACCTTTGGAAGCCTAAAACAATTGATCTAGTACCGGTGAATGTATTGATTTTCATTCACCCTTATTTAAATAGTAGGTTGATAGCTAAGAGCTCTGATTTCTCTATGTTGTAAGTTTAGGTGTAATTTGTTTCTGTTGCCTCTCATCAGTTTTCTGTATTTATTTTCGCAATTCGGGAGTTATAGGTATGATGCCTCAAAAATATGTTTTATCATATATTTGCATGTATACATTCTTGATTAAATTAGGGCAGATAACACCATTAAAGAAACACTATAATTGTATAATTGCAGGCCTCATCCAAATGAATGCTCTGGTGGCGATCTGGATGGGGATTTATATTTCATAAGCTGGGACCAAAACCTCGTTCCGAATCAAACTGTGAAGCCGATGGACTACACTGGACGAAGCCCTCGAATAATGGATCATGATGTAACCATGGAGGTAGTTGGTGTGATCCATTTCTATTATTTGAATAAACTGTTTCCAGAAACTAGCTTCTTTTCTTGATGTTTGCAGGAAATACAGAGATTCTTTGTTGATTACCTGATCAATGATACACTGGGTGCCATTTCCACAGCACATCTTGTACATGCAGACCGTGAACCACTAAAAGCTCTCAGTCCAAAGTGTTTACAGTTAGCAACCCTTCACTCCATGGCTGTCGATTTTGCAAAAACAGGAGCTCCAGCTGAGATGCCCATGTATTTGAAACCAAGGGAGTTCCCGGATTTCCTGGAGAGATGGGAAAAACCAATGTACATATCTGAGAACGTACTGGGAAAACTTTATCGTGCTATCAAGAAGGCAACCTTTAGTGGGAGCTCGACCAATCATACAACGCCAACTGCTATTCAAAATGCTTATGATCACGATCTCATTGTGGATGGCTATGAATCTTTTCTCGCAACCGCTGAAACTCACAAGCAAATGTATTTGGATAAAATGGTAAGCTTAATGAATTATTATGAAGCAGGGAGTGAAGTCGAGATACTGACTGGGAATATAAGGAACAAATCAACTTATTTGCTTCGGGACAACAGGAGATTTTTCGAACTAAAGGATCGAATCTTGGGTTCTGCCAAGAGCCTACACAAGGAGGCTAAAGTGTGGTTTCAGAGTAGCTGCCAGGGCAGTGAATGTCAGAAACTGGCTTCAGCTTGGTATTTTGTGACATATCACCCTAACTATTGTGCAACAAGTGCTAATTGTCTAGGTTTTCCCTGGATTGTAGGTGAAGTTTTGCTTGAAATTAAGTCATTGAGGCGCTGAATGAAAGCTTTTCTTGTATGATATCTATCTATCAGGTGTAGAACTTCATCACTAGGAATAAATGATTGCAACCTTCTGTATATGATGTTTAAAACAAATATGCAGTGTGTCTACTTTAAATCCCTTTTGATATTACTTGTTCAGTTTTGCCATGACTTATATGCCATGGGGTTTTTAGCGGCTGTGATGCAGAGGCTTCAGGCTAAATGGTTGATCATTTACTGATAAAGGTTTCACTAAGCACAATTTTTTTAGTGATATGAAAAACATTCTGGTGGGATGACAACATGTGTGCATGGGACTGAATACTGAAGTCGCTGAACCCAAGGTGGCAGTTATTTAAAAAATCTACCTAATCCGATTTTGATCCCGAACTGGCTAGTCCTAAAAAATATATCTAAAGAATAAATGACACATTATTTTGTACCAATTTTCTAAATGGTACAAGACTTATTCTAAAAATCCAAATAGCACATAAATATTCAAAAGTAAGATTGTTAATCAAAATTAACCTTTAATGGTATAAAATGATAAAATCACTCTCATAAAACAGACCATTTTTAATGGACTCAATACATAAATAGACCTTTTCATTATAACCCTCATGAAAAAAAGAGGTTTAACTTTCACAATACACACACTATAGACTACAATGTTAATCTCGCTTCATGCGAGCGCTTCTTTCTTGCTTCATGTGAGGGTATCACTCCACCTTAGTGCGGAATGGCTGTGTTTGGGTTTGCGGAGGAACACACACGCATGATATTGAGAGTAGGCAGCCAATTTGGTGGCTTAGCTTTTTCGACAGACAATTATTTTCTTGATAACAATCGAAGAAAGAGTGGTCATGCATGATTCATTGGATGAGAATGAAGAAGGCTCAATTCATGATGGTAGAGGAAGTGACAAGGGCATCGGGATGGAGAGACTTGACTCAAAAAAACTAGAGGGAGACGGGCTATGTGCTTTAGGCCCACCTTGGTGTTTGAAAGGCTCAAGTTCTTAGGGAGTTCCGTTGCATTCTATTACCACAAGCAGCGGCAACAGAAGTGATGATGTTTAAGCCGTGAGGTTATTTTTGTCCTCACACTTACAAAACAGTGCCAAATAATGCCAAACAGTGCCAAACAGTGTTTATTTCCTTAAAAACTGTGAAGTCAAAGTGTCAAGATCTTTTGGAACCGGAGGAAGTATTAATTATTTGATGGAATACTCAATATTTTATACTTTCTCCGTTCCTTAAAACATTGTCATCTTTCCTTTTTAGGTTGTTCAAAAATTTTTGCCACTTTTCTTTTAATCAACTAATTTGTGGTTTCTGTTATTTATCCCTACAGTGCATAAATCTCAATCACACAGTTTTTACTTTATTATTTTTCATGTCGAGCAAATTTTAGAAAGTTTTAAAGGACATAGCTCACATAAGAGTAACAATTTGGAAACATGATAACATTGAGCCTTAACAAACTTATGAATGAGGTAGGTTCCATAAAGTTGTCCACATTGCAAGGGGTGTAAACCTTAAATTTGAGGTATTCACCCCAATTGTGCTCCAACCCAAGTAAAAAAATGTATTTATAAATGCTAAAGTGGGTTGGGAGAAACCATCAAGTGATGTGTAATACCCCTATTGACTCTTGGAAAGAGGAAACATTTGGGTGCAGGTGAAATAAGGAACCAAATGGCAATGAGTCCCAATAAATATAAAACCTTAATTTTCTTTAAACTATTATTATATCTCTTTTATTTTTTTTTATTTGTACTTTAATTTTTACAAAAAATATATAAAAATTCATAATTCTTTTTATAGAAATTGCTCTTAATAGGAGCAAAAACGTTTTGACATTCCAAAATAGGAGTATCATGTTTTTTATTTCCTGAATAGGAGTAATCTGCCAAGTTTGGAAAAAATGCCATGTTTTAAAGCCTAGTAATGCCAAACATGACAGAAATTTACTCATATTCAAGGAAAAAAAACATGATACTCCTATTTTGGAATTTCAAAACTTTTTTACTCCTATTTAGGGAATTCTCTCTTCTTTTTAACCTTTCATATGATACCAGTCATGAATATACTACCCCCATTCTCTTTTAATTGCAACATTGAACTTTTTGCACTATTCAGAGATTCTACTTTGACTATATATATTATTTATTGGTGTATTAGAAATTATTTTTTTTAAAGAATATTCTTAAATTCTTCTCATTCTAAATTTTCAATTTTTTTTCTTTATTTCTAACTAATAAAGAATGAAAGATATTAATGGTCAAACTTGTGCGTTGACAAACGTGAAAAGTGGACTGTTGCAATTAAAAAGGAACGAAGAAGTATAAAGTAACAAAATGAAATTTCAAGTGTAGGAGATTTTCAGATCTAAATTTTTCCTTAAGTAGTTCCAAAGGTTAAAATTAAGATTTGACCAATAAAATATTTTTTACATCTCTTTTTATTATCGCACTCAATATTATGTGTGTTTCTAGTATTTGATTGTTAGTATTTTAATTTTACACGTGTTTCGATTGATTCATCTTAATATTCAACAAGTACATTATACGTAGTATTACAAATGAAATTTAATAACATAGCAATATAGAAAATAACGTAATATCATGCATTTTTTTGAAATTTATTTCAAATTTACCTCAAGTGTGCATTTTGGATACTTTAAAAATAATCACATTTTTTATTTTTTACATCGGAATGTTTGACTTTTTAAATCATAATTATGGTAAAAATAAAATTGTCTCATAAATGATGTGTAGTAAAAAAAGTAGAGATTTATTCATTTAATAAAAAAAGTTGTGCTATGTGAATGTATTGACGATGTTAAATTACCAGAAAAAAATTGAATTGATTGAACGAGGGCCCCGCTTAGCTGAGGACAGAATCCTTGTTAAGCCTAAATGAGCACCATTTGAATCGCAGCATTGATCCAAAGTTGGATCAATGGGAATCGCAGCATTAGGTTCTTAAAGTTGGAGGGCCCCGCTTAGCTGAGGACTTTTCTTGGATCTAGTCATTACTTCCTCTTTATGGAGAGACGAGCAGTTCACAATTGACAGTTGGACCGCGAAGAAAGGCAATGACCACTTTGCATGCCAAATCAGAAAATGTTAAAGCTCAGGGAGCGGAATGCAAACTGTGCCTGAATTAGGATCCAAGTGCAAACTGCGCTCCAAATCGGAAGGGAACAATATCCGAAGGATTTCCGTTTCTGTACGAAGAAACCGCTGCTCAATTAAGGATTTATTACCAAAATAGCTCTCTCTCGGGTTGCTCACTAAATAACTGCACATTACAGGTGACCCGATTTTCCTCTTTTGCATATTGTTGTTTTCCGTGATTTGATCTGTCCGGATTCCGAGGTGGCTTCAAGTTCTGTATTCAATTGCTGATTGAAGCTGCAGAGTAATGCCTTGATTTCCGAGTTTTTCATCTGCTGAAGATACAGTGGATTAAGTTCAAATTGAACGTACTGCTGATATCTGGAGCGACCTGGTGCGGCGTAGCTTAGTTTGTGCATTATTGAAGTTGATTTGATTTTAGAATATGGGTCTGTTAGTCACTGCACATTGAGATCGCGACTTTAAAGAGTTACTGTGAATTAAATCTAAGTAATGGCCTTTTTGTGCCTCCTTTAGAGCATTCAAAGTCGAGGCTAAGATTGTACAGTTAAATCTTCTCTGTAACAAATCCATCTTGAGAACAACAGGATTGTACATGATCTTTTTTGAAATTCGAAGTCTTGTTTAAAGTTTAAACAGTTTCTTAGTGGTACTTCCTTTGAAGTTTGAAGTAGTGTTTGTTAGTGGATAGTTCAGAATTTCAGTATTGTGAAATCTTGTGTGTCTTAGTTAATGAAGGGGTATTTGAAGGAAGAAAAATGAAGGATGATACATTGTGGTCGGAGGTAAAATGACTGGGGTGTCATTGGGTGTTCGTACTGGGAGCTATGGATCATTGCAGCAGGCGCAAAATGAGATGTTGCATACTCAAAATTTTTTCATTCTGCGCAAGACTCCAAAGATGTCACTTTCTGGTTCCAGAGAGAAAGAGAGGTTTCTTCCATACATTTGTAGAATTTTACTCCGAAGACAGGTGGGGATGCTAATTTTGGTCACTTTTGCACTTTTGGTTTTTACAACAGGATTCTTAACAGTAAACAAAGGTTTGCATCCTTACTATGATTTCATATTATTATTGCCTCTAGACCTCTTTATTGTATTTGCCAGTTCTTGTGAGTCTCAACCATTAGCATTTCTTTTCTTATTTGTTACACAATTAATATATATATAATCTAGATTCTATGTTGTTGCAGAGGATGTATCTGGAAGCTCATCTTTGGATTTTGAAGAAGGATTTTGGAGTAGCACATATTATGTATCTTCACTCTTGAACAGAAAGGTTGCGTCTTGTGGTGCAAATAAGGACCACATGGTTTCTCTCAATACCTCTGTTAATATGCTTTCTATTGACAATGCTGCTGCCAAGCCCCACCCTTGCAGAAACTTTGCATTTCCTCCTCCCCCTCCGGGTGAGAGGAGGCGGATTGGGCCACGCCGTAAGTTTAACCTAGAAGTTTTGCTGCATTCAATGACTCTGCAATTCACACAAATGCATTCAAGTGTTTATTAGAGTTTATATCTTTTGGTTTCTTCTGATTTTTTATATCATGTATGACTCGAAAATGTGACTAACTCTTGCATCACTGTCCCCCCAGCATGCCCTGTATGCTATCTTCCCGTGGACCAGGCTATTGCTAGAATGCCCAGAACCCCTTCACCGTCACCTGTTCTCAATCATCTAACTTATTATCGTGAAATTAATCCCACAAAGACTTATTCTCGTGGAGGTTCAGACTTTGGTGGGTATCCTTCTTTGATGCAGAGGAACGATTCTTTTGACATAAAAGAATCGATGACGGTACACTGTGGGTAAAAGATGCATCACTCTTCTCATTATAATTCGACATTCTCAAGATTGTTTTCTCTTAATTGCCTGATACATTGTCTGCCATTATTCTCTACACATTTATTTACTCATTTATTATCTTTTATCCATTCATGTTGTGGTTAGGTTTGCCAAAGGATGTACACCTGGAGATCAAACTGGGTTTGATATTAATGCTTCCGATCTAAGGGAGATGGAGGACTTCCATGAAGTCATTGTTGCATCAGCCATATTTGGTATGGAAAATTGCCCTAAATAGGAGTAAATGAGGTTTGGAATTCCAAAATAGGACTACTATGTTATTCTTCCCCAAATAGGAGTTGTTACTGTCATGTATGAAAAATACTGCCATGATTGAAAACTACTGCCATTAATTATAATAAATACTGCCATGTTAAATGCATCGTACTGCAACTATTTGAAAGTCACACCTACAACATGGCAGTAAATACTGCCATGTTAGTCCTATTTCTGGAATAAAAACACAGTAGTCCTATTTTTGAATTCCAAACTCCATTTACTCATATTTTGAGAAATATCCCTATTTGGTATAGCTGATAAGAAATTGTACCTCCAGAGTTTCATACAAGAATTATCTATGGTATTTCAGAATTGAAGATTCAATTAACACCTAAACTGCTAATAAATAGTAAAAAAAGCTAACCAGACTGGTTCATGAAATCCAAATACAAAAACTAAACACATTAGACAGTGATGATCTTCAACTCATCATGTATGTTGGATTATATATTACTTTTCTCATGATTCCATTTTTAGAAATCGCAAAAACTTGTGCTCTCCTATGCTCGTAGTTCATGAAGTTTTTTCGCAATGAACACCAAGCGCAAGCAAATGGTAGAACCTAACTAGAGTAATTTATAAATGCCAAGAACTCGTGTTTTTCTATGCATGCTGCCATCAGATAATAAAATACTCCTCCTGTTCCGAAATGAAGTTCCCGATTTGACCTACACACATATTTATGTAAGGTAGAATTTTGTTTTGACTTTCCAAGCATACCCTTACTTTATGTAAAATCAAGCAAAAGGTGGGTACAAAGTAAGGCTAGTTGTGACTTTTTGGTTAAAAGTGGTTTCCTTTTATAGAAATGAGAACTTCTTTTTGGGACATCCATAAAAGGAAAGTGAGAACTTCTTTTCGGGAAGGAGGTAGTATATCCTAAAATCTTAATTACTTGCTGACCTGTGCACTGCTTTATTGAACATTTTAAACAGTTGACAAACATATGCCACTAAATTGAAGTTTCTTTTCTATTTTTGTCTACTCGAAGAGCGTCTTGCTACTTCTGTGTAGCATAAGACGCATGACATGGCTTCTGCTCAAGGAATGCTTTGCTTATCTGTTTTTGTTTTTGTTACATGTACCGGTACTAACTATCAATAGGGAACTACGATGTGATTCAACAACCAAGGAATGTCAGCTCCATTGCAAGAGAACATGTTCCCTTCTATATGTTTGTTGATGAAGAGACAGAAACATCCTTAAGGAATTCTAGTCATTTATATCACAACAACAGGGTCGGACTGTGGAGGATAATTCGTGTTCACAATGTGCCTTACAACGATGCAAGACGCAATGGGAAGGTATGTCAAATAGTTGACTAAGTTTCGATTCTCCAAACTTTTAATCTTTCAACACACAGCATCTTCAACAGATTGCCAGTGAGTTCTGTGCAATGGTAGGTGACAGCGGGGATATAAAAGAACTTACAAGAATGATGTTCTTGATATATTATTGATTTACTTTGGACCATTTTTTTTACGAAGGCTACCATTGTGAAAAGAGCATGCAAGATATGCTTATACTCGAGGCTTGTGGATTTCTTTGAGAAAGAAAATGGTTTCATTTTTATGAAATTCAATTGACGCATAGCGTATAAATAGTTTTTGCTACCATGAGAGGCTACCATAAGAGAGGTACTACAACAATAACATCCGAACTTTATTCATCCAAGAGTTTGGGATCGAGTAACATGAACCGACATATTATATCTGAGTTAAAAACATGAGATAGAGAAAGAAGGAGATAAACAATAAAAGAGCAATCTTCCAGACTTCCACAAGACCACACTTATGCTCTTCTCCGTCCACTTCACTCTCTCCAAAATCATACTCTCATCCACTTACCATTGTATAATTTTTATTCACTCTAATCCACATTGTGTGTGAGCATAAGCGGCACTCATCATCATCATCATCATCATCATCATCATTACCTCAGTGCCGCAAAGGCTCCCACCTATGGTGGGGTAAAGGGGGTTTGGATGTACGCAGTCTTACCCTTGTACTAAAGCATAGAGAGACTGTTTCCGGATGACCCATAGTGAACATCTCGTCCAAAATTGCTTGGACTGACCGCTGCTTCATAACAAAGAAGCGTAGACAGTTTAGTGAGCCATTTTGCTTTATTCCATCATATTCTGAAGCAAAAAAATAGGTAGTCTTATGTTCACACACTGAGCATATAAAATTGTTTTTGCTTTTGATCTTGCTTATCTAACCATATTGGGCAAAACACTCTCCTGACCTAACCGAAATACCAAAAGTTTTCTGATTTTCACTATTCAGATACTTTAGTACTCCCTCCGTCCGATTCAAAGGATCCCATTTAAAGGTTCCCGTTTTCTATTTTAGGAAACAACTAACACTCTTAAATAGCAACTTAATCATCAAATATTAAAAATAATACATCTATAACATCAAAATTATCATCAATAACCCATTATATCATACTTCGTATACTCATCAAAATCATTTCTCAAAATATACTCGAATTAGCATATTTACTTATTGTTTAAATAATCGTGGCATTTTGCAACGAGAACCTTTGAATGGGATGGAGATACTAGCTATTTTGTCCAATCACATTGAAAAAGCTTCTTCACCAGTCTTTAAGATTATTGTGTTCTCTATTAACTGGTCAACCCTTTCCTTATTCCCAATTGCTTTAACACAAGTCGGCTCTGCACAACCATGTTGTGTGTTTCACTGTGTTTGTTTTTTGTTGCTAAATGTTTCCAGCGAGTTTAGAAAATCTTGGTTTCCTGAGACATAACCTGCATAATTGACAAGTATCTCTTTTGCTTGATGTGCTCAGAATTCTACAAACCATAGAGAATAAAATTTATTTCCTTTATGGTCTCTGCTATGTCATATGTGCTATTTTAGCCAACTTCACGGGTTGATTTATTTGATGGAAAAGAATGATATGAGGGTTGGGATTTTGTTGAGATGCCAAACCTGCTAGGTTGTGTTTTATTTAAATCCAAAGTTTCCTTGTTATTTTGCTGAACTTTCTATTTTATTATATTCCAACAATTCAACATTTATACTTGGGAAGTACAAAAAATTACAAGGCAATTAACTAATTATGACTCCTCCTAAGCCAATCAAATAACTTATAATATTTAATCGACTAAATAACATCTTGTTTAGTAATGTATTTCTTATCTAACTAAATTATTAATTTATAATTTAACTGAATATATGAAATTTAGTACTGCAGCATACCTCACTTCCACCATATGTTCCATCTACATCCCCCCATTTTTTGCGCCAAAGACAATAATTTGCACTCCCTCCGTTCTAGAAAAGGTCTCACTTACCACTCTTCACTCTCACATAATAAGGTTTTCTTTCTTATTAGTGTCTCTAAAGCAGTGGCACCTCACTTCAGACAAATTTTGTGGCTCTAAAGTCTAAACACATGCCTAAAAAGTGGCGCCAGATTCTTATGAGAAGTGGGAACCTTAAATTAGAACTGAGGGAGTAGTGCTTAACGGTGGTGCTGCTTCAATACTATTAGATGAATAGCAACCTTGAGATCCTATAACTCCTCTTACTTTATTCGCATTGATTTATTTATTCTGAAATCCCATAATATTCCGTTATTGTGGAAGTGCTGTTTGTCTGAAGGTGAGAATAATAGTGCACAATATATTGATTATGACACCATTAACACTCCATCGCAAGAGCTACAAAACTAAAGCTTCTAAAGACCCATTACATCAATTACTTCGCAAGATGCTACCTTCTATTTCACTTCTATCTTATGTAAAAAGTCTTGACAGTAAATTGGCCAGATTGTCCAAATGCCATATTATTCCAAACTTTATGTAGGAACCACAAAAAGCATTAGTTCATAGCAACCTTTCCGCTAATGGTTATCTGAAAGCCAATAAACAAATTTCATATGCTATTAGATGAATAGAAATCCTGAAAACCAATAACTCTTCTTTATTTGTTCATACTATTTATTTCTACTGAATCCCCATACTATTATTTCTATGTTCTGGAAGTGCTGTTTTTTGTGTGAAGATGAAAACATTATTGCAAAGTATATAGGTAAGTATGTGACATTAACACTTACGGGAAAGAGCTACAAAACTACAACTTTCAAAGACCCATTGCTTGGCTTTTTGGAAGATGGTACCTTCTACTCCACATCTCTCTTTTATAGAAGGTTTTGTCATTAAGTGACCAGATTGTCCAAATACCATGCAATTCCTAACCATTATGCTGAACCTACAAAAGCAATACATATGTGTCAACCTTGTTTAGGAAGGTCTTCTTTAGGAGGCCTGTGTCGGTCTAGTTATCTTTATAAGCCAACTCCAGTAAAGTTACTTCTGTGTATAAAAGGCTTCTGTGTCATATCTGATTGGAAAGAACTTAAAAGAAGAAAAGGCGACGGGCCATAGTGATAGAGAGCGGGAAGAGCATGGGGCGGGACCGGGCTTGGGCCCACTTCCGTGGGCCGAGTTAGGGCTGTCGTTATAGTTTAATTATTATTATTAAGTTAATGTTATGTTTTAGTTTGGGCCTATTATTAGTAGAGTAGTTAGTTGAGTTAATTTGGGCTTAATTAGGGTTTAATTAATATGGGCTTGATTAGGGTTTCTTGTAGAAGGCTATTTATACCCCTCGCCAGGGTTCATTCTTATTATTTTGGAATAAAGTTAGAGTTTAGCCTTTTGGCTTTGGGCAACGGTATTTTATCGTTGATTATCTGGGCAACGGTTCACCCCGTTGATTTCTATTTTCTGTTACATACCAATTGGTCCGACCTGCCAGATCCCGTCCCGCCGGAATGACGAGATCAACCAACAAACGTTTATCAGAATTGGAGGCTGAACAGGCCCTAATCAATCAAAAACTTGACACGCAAGGACAGAAACTTGATCTGCAGGGACAGAAACTTGACACACAAGGTCAGAAACTGGAAGAGCAGGCCGCCCAGCTTGCGGAAATCGCAGCCTCTCTTGCAGCAATCGCGAAGGCCATGGTGCCGCCGCAGAAATCTCCCATCGCGACCGTCGAGAGCGATTCCTCCGGCCACGTCGCATCTGTCTTCTCCGATGATGGCGGACTGCGCACCGCAGCCACAACGCTACTTCCCTCGTTCGATGGCGAAGACCCAATTGGGTGGTTGGCGAGAGTGGAGCAGCAGTTCTAGCTCAACAGGACCCCACCAGACAGACAAGTTGCAGCGGCTAGGGTTTCTATGGAAGGGGCTGCCCTCTATTGGGTGACGTGGTTAAAGGCGCGCAAACCTGGCATATCTTGGGAGGAATTTAAGCAAGCCTTGGTGGCCAGATTTGATTCCCGATATCAGGGAAACAGGTTTGAACGGCTGTCCGGCGTCAAACAAATTGGGTCGGTGGAGGAATACAATACCTTGTTCGTTCAATTGGCTAGCCAAGTTCCGGGATTGACCGACGATCATTATTTGGGCTACTACATGAGTGGACTTGGGGAAGCAGTCCGAAGTTCGCTGCGCTTATTACAGCCAGAAAACCTGGAGACAGCCATGGAATTAGCTCGTGATGTGGAGCATAATCTGTCCGTCCAAAGTGGAGGAAGTGGCAGCCCGAATTATAATTCTGCAGGGGTACGTTCCAGCAGCTTTTTAATGGCAAACACGGGTCCTCCTTTGACTGCCAGTGGTGGCAGCTTGCAGGGATCAAGGGGCAGCTTTGCGAAGGATAGTGGACAGCCTCCGGGGACGAAGTCAGGGCTGTCCGGGCAGCCTACGACACGCTCTCAGTTCACTCGTCTTCCGCCAAAGGAGTTCGCAGAATTGAGGGTGAAAGGATTATGCTTTAGGTGTAAGAAACCATTTACACCGGGGCACGACTGTCCCTTTAAGCAGTTGCGGGTAATGATAGCCGAGGAGGAGGAAGAGTTAGACCTCCAACAACATGAGTACTGTGTCTGGGAATTTCAGCTCCCCATATGTCAGCTTTCAACCTTGAGGACAAGGTTATTTTGAAGGAGGATGGATTGATAGAGAGCGGGAAGAGCATGGGGCGGGACCGGGCTTGGGCCCACTTCCGTGGGCCGAGTTAGGGCTGTCTTTATAGTTTAATTATTATTATTAAGTTAATGTTATGTTTTAGTTTGGGCCTATTATTAGTAGAGTAGTTAGTTGAGTTAATTTGGGCTTAATTAGGGTTTAATTAATATGGGCTTGATTAGGGTTTCTTGTAGAAGACTATTTATACCCCTCGCCAGGGTTCATTCTTATTATCTTGGAATAAAGTTAGAGTTTAGCCTTTTGGCTTTGGGCAACGGTATTTTTATCGTTGATTATCTGGGCAACGGTTCACCCCGTTGATTTCTATTTTTCTGTTACATATCACATAGTTTCATGGGATGCCTGTATAAGGATATATAAGTTTTTAAGAATCTACTAAAAGGGAAGAACAGAAGTATTTATGAACATCGAATTGCATCCTGTATATGACATCACATTTATGTGGCAGGTGCCCAAACTTTTGCTGCACAGACTCTTTCCAAATGTCCGGTATTCAATTTGGATTGATGGAAAGCTTCAGCTTGTGGCAGATCCATACCAAATTCTTGAGAGGTATGCCAGCCTTTATCTTGTCTTTCTTTCGTATCTTCTATACACTAACTGAGGAGGGTTCTTTTGGTATGCTAGAGCTTGCATGTGCATTCATGTGCTGATTAGAGTAAATTTTTTAAGAGGCTTGTAGTATTGTTTGAATGATTTAGCAGTTACAAAAACCATACTTAGCTTTTACTGTAAAATATCATCCATATCCCATGCTCTGACTTATCTGCATATGCAGTTAGTTGTGAAAGACTCATTCTTCAACCATTTCATGTCATTATGTGTGCCTTTTACCTAAATACCTGATATAGCTTTTTTATTTCTTCCGAAAAAGATTTGCTTCCTTGGCTTTTAATTGTAATTATGTCCCATAAACTTTGCATCCAAGTATCTTAATTTTTTATTGTTGCTCAATTTGATGCCTAGGTTTTTGTGGAGGGAGAATGCTACTTTTTCCATTTCACGGCATTATAGACGCTTTGATGTATTTGAAGAAGCTGAAGCTAATAAAGCTGCAGGAAAGTACAATAATGAATCCATTGATCACCAGATTGGCTTTTATAAGAAAGAGGGTCTAACGCATTATTCTGAGGCTAAGCTTCCTATAACAAGTGGTGGGACACTGTCTTGTGTATCTTCATGTTCTTGTCTGAGTCTCAAAACTTACTTCCTTCCTAACCAAATTTTGCAGATGTTCCTGAGGGTTGTGTAATCATAAGGGAGCACATTCCCATAACAAATCTGTTCACTTGTTTGTGGTTCAATGAGGTTGATAGATTTACCTCCAGGGACCAGTTGAGCTTTGCCATAGTAAGGGATAGAGTGATGTCCAAAACAAATTGGACAGTCAATATGTTTTTAGATTGCGAAAGGCGGAATTTCGTGATACAGGTAATTTTTTATCCCAAAATGGAAATAATTGCTTCTCTTTGTTTAGACCTCTCTGGACTGAGAGGATAATGGGATATTGTGAGCACAAGGATTATAGGATTTGATTAGAAGGTGGGATTGCATTTTATGAAGCCCATGCCAGAAATAGAGAAATCATACCATACCATACCAAACCAAATTTATCCAGTATTTCCTACTCAAAAGTAGGGCCAGGGAGTGTGAAATGTACGCAGGCTTGTCCTTTATCCTTCGGAGCAACAGAGCGTGAAGACTGTTCCCCCCCAGGTTAAAAGAAAAATGGGAAGTTTCGGAGATATTGCAAGAATTTGAGATTCTTGAAAATTTTGAAAGTTTTAGTCAAAATGTTGTACTGAAAAAGACATCTATAGATGAAAGGTAGAGAGAGGACTATGGTATAAAACTGTTTGGGAAAAAGGACAGCAATAAAAAAGCATCTGTATGGGAAAAAGGGCAGCAATAAAATAGCATAATACAGCTTCAAATGGATAATACGAAAAAGTACGTAAGCAAGCAGATAATGATGTACTAGTAACTTCCACACAAGGTATGCACCATTATCTACAAGGCCAAGAGAGCCTCCCCCAATAGCGGTTGCTCTCAAATCCTAAAAGGAATCTGCTATCCTTACCTGGCATCTCCCGGAATCCTCATCGGAGGTCACGTGGAGAGGTTTAAGACAGTGATGTCCAGCCTCAGCTTCTTATTGCACACCCTCATGCCTAGCCTCTCCTCATCTCCTTGACCGAAATGCTCTCCACCGTCCTCACCAGTGCCGCTGCATCTCTCCCACGGATGTGATCGAACCACTGAGCTCTTCTCTTAGTTTTAAAAGGCATGAGGCGGCTTGAGGCGATTTCATTGATTCACCCGAGGCACGAGGCACTAGGCGTTGAGGCGCGCGCATCACGGATCTCAACCACATTTCTTTGGTGAAATATATTTAAGTAATTTAAATAATTAATGTAATAAACAATTAATAGTCATTTTGTGATAAATTAAATAATTAAGTTATATAAAAACTATTAATAGTAATTTAAATAATTAATGTAATAAACTGCTATATAAAAAAATGTTCAAAAATGTTAATAATAAAAACTGTCATTTTATGCAATACATAGTTAATAAATCAGTGTTCTAACACTACAATATATATTATATAGTATTATGATATTATCATTGTTATGCAATATACTATAAAATAATACATATTTAATTAATAAACTATCACACAAATACAATTCTGTAAATTTAATTACAGACAGATTTGTAAATTTAAATAATTTTATAAATTTAGAAACTTAAAATACTTAAAAAAAACTTACAAACTTAAAAGGCTATAACTTTTTTTCAGTTATCTATCAAAACTTATAAATAGCCAAAGATAATTCTACGTATGTATCAGCTATCTAACTTTTTATTTAAATAATTTTAATATTTTTATAAATATAACAACTTAAAATAAAAGAGAATAAATAGAAGAAGACAAAAAAAAGTAAACACACTTGCCTGTGACGCGAGAGAGCAGCCCAAGATAAGTCGGATAAGTCGGAAGAAGAACTACCGCAAGATGAATCGGAAGACCGCAGAAGGAAGAAACGAAGAAGAAGACTGAGACTTGGAGTCTTTGAAGACTGAGACTTGGAGTCCATGAGGCGCCAAAAGCGCTCGCCTCTCATAAGCGCAAAAGGCGATCGCCTCTAAGAACCTAAGCCGCCTGAGTAAGTGAATTGCGATTAACCTAGCGCCTGAAGGCGCCTCGCTTTTTAAAACTAAGGCTCTTCTCTTACCAGTGTTCTATCATTCAACACAATGACTCACTAAACTGTTTGTGCTTCTTTGTTATGAAGCAACAGTCGGTTCATGCAATTTTTGACGCGATTTTCACTATGGGTCATCCGGAAACACTCTTAATGCTTCATTACAGAGGCAAGAGTGCGTACATCCGACTCCCCTTACCTGATCGTAGGTGGGAGCCTTTGCGGCACTGGGGTAATGATGATGATTTGAGTTTGGTTTTGTCTTTCAATAGAAGTTTTATTGTAGTTTCTAAGTAGTCAAACTTTAACCATCGATACTGATTTAAATATTAGCAGAGAACATTTTACTTTATAGTCATTTAACTTAAAACTGCAAATTGCTGATCAATTTGAAATCCAGGAAGCAGTAAATAAATATAACTATTAGTACTACATAAAATAGGGTTGGTGTGAATGAACTTGTGTCTTATTTCATTCCAATGCATGTCCTATCCTTCCAAATAAAAGTTTGTGCACACAATTTTTTGCAGGCGTATCATAGAGATCTACTTGAGCAAAGGGCTCAAGAAGCCACTGTAAGAGTTCATTCTCCTCCACCACCACCACCACTTTTGGTTAGTGATGGGGTCATAGTAGCTGTTAGAACTCCAGTAAGGAAAAGTGTCAAGCGTGGGAAGAAGGCTGGCTCTAGGCGGCATAGGAAAATTGGAGCTGGGCATAGGGACCATACATGATTTCTTTTATTTCTTATTTTTTTATTTTTTTGGATGCAAAGTCAAATCTTTGGTCTGTTCTCATTTTCTTTTGATGTCCATATATTGAGCAGACAGGAAGGAACTATTTTGATAGGGTATTTCTTACACGGGAAAAGTACTAGTTTTGCTCTATAATGTGTATCATTTTGTTTACACTGTAGATACCGATTGCAATAAAACGGTTCACAGTTATTTCATATTGCAAATGACTCTGATTTGTTTTTTAATTTATTTGTTTTTGTATTATCTTGATTCTTGAATATGATTATATATGAAGCTGTAAAATGATTTTAGAGGGATTCTAGACAGAACAAAGTGACTCCAGATTTCATTCAAGGTAAGTAACATGGTTATCCCCATTTTGAAATTATTATGAACCAAAGAGGCAATACAGAAAGTGCATGGATCGTCACCCAACTAACATGGTTGATCCAATTCATTGGAGATGTGGATAAGCTTAACTAGAGTGAATGTACCCACCCCCATCCTGTTTATCCACATGTCAAACTAGAGCTATAGCAATAATCCTCCAACATGGTTTCCAATCTCGTGATCAAACGTTTTGGAAAGGATGACACCCCATCCCTGAGGGCCCCCCAATCCCGACTGAACGGTACGTTGGGAGGATGTAAATTGGACTATAATCCCAATCTGATAGATAGAGAGTGAGGCTCTTTCCCCGGTACTTGCAGAGGTCCTATGCATTTTAGCATAGTAACCTCTCATCGCAGTTGCCGGGATTCGAACCCGGAACCTAACCCTTGTGGCACTCCCTTTCTACCAGTTGAGTTACGCCCACCGGTCGTGATCAAACGTTTTGGAGGGAGCATCACTTGTAGGCTAGAGATATGAAGAGGTAGAATTAAGAACCATGTTAATGGATAATCACTAATCAGCCTTCCTGCAATGGATAAAAATCATCATCCCAGCTAATCGGTTTAATCTGAATCTTTTCCGCCATATCTTCAAGGCCGTCATTCATTTTTATTTTTTATAATCCTTGTAAAGGAGCACCCGGAAATAAGTTTGCTGTAGTAATAATGAAAGAACTTTCTCCTCATTTTAGCCCCCCCATCCCTGAATAATCACGGTATCATGGATGAAAAATGACCAATAAGTGTAGTTTATCCTTTAGATCAGAAAGTGCTTCAGCCATTACGGCAAATAGGGAAGGGGATATTGAATCCCCTATTCTTAAGCCTCTAGTAGATCCAAAGGAACTCACCTGTTCATCATTGATAAATAAGAAAAATGGCAGCCAGCGGTTAGAGTGAATTTTCTTAGCCCAGCAGTCATAAGTTCCAATTTACAGGCTTCCTATAAAGTTCAGTTAACTATGTTGTAAGCTTTTGCCGTATCAAGCTCTAGAACCTGGTTAGCACCTCTTGTCATTCTGTCCACTTGTTCCACCATTCTCTTGAGTCAGTAAAGCTGTGTCTGTATCTTAGCATTGTAAATGATAAATCCTTACCATTATCTATTCACTTTGATTTTTAGAAATAAGATAAGGCATACTATTTTTAACATGTTATTCATAAATATGTAGTTTTAATAGTCACAATTCATAGAGTAATTGGTCTGAGTTTCTTACAGGAAGAGTAGTGTTCAATTTTGGGAAAAAGAAGTTGAGTAGTGGCAGTAATTCCCATTTGAGTTGATTCATTCTCAGCTACACTTAGGTAATACTTGAAACTCTCCTAACATTTCAGTAAGAATGAGGCACCAAATCCATCAGGGCCTTCCATGCTTTGGAAAATCATTCTAGGCAGGCTGTTAAGGGTATCATTATCATCAGCATCAATACATCATGGTCCACATCAGTTTAGGAATACAGTCCAATAGAAACGGGCTATCCTGGTTTCTTGGAAAACGGTGTGGTGGCGGGCTGTATAGGAGAGTTGTTGATTGATCTCATGAGAATCATGACAAGTTTAACATAATTATTCTTCATCTCACAGATTTTAGTATTTTGTGTAGCCCCCTCTTTGACCTTAGCATCAAAATAAGTAGTGTTCTAGTCCCTCCCTTTCATCCATTTATCAACACTCTTTAGTACAGAAATGGTGAATATTGTCTTTGTAGTTTCAGTAGTATTACCCCTTCAGGGTTTATGCCCACTTTACCAATACCTAGAAAAAATAAAGTTGTGACACATTTAGAGGTCGTTTGACAACCCTCATTTTCGGCTTATCAGGTTTATCAGCCAACTTTTTTACCAAACGCGTAAATTTTGCTTTCGCGCGCTGAATTGTGTAATAAGCCGAAAAAGTAAGGTTGGAGTTACTTTTCTGGCTGTATTGGCTGAAGTTACTGTAGATGATCATTTTAACTATTTTTACATATAATTTTTTCTTTATTTTATTAATAAAATATATTTTAAAAATATTTTTTTCTTGTATCAGCAGAATCAGCCAATGCAGCCACTTTAACCAGAACTTCATAAATTTCAGCAGAATCAGCCAAAACAGCTGATTTTCGTGTTACCAAACGGGCTCTTAGTCATATGGATAAAAGTAGTTTATTGTTCAACAATTCTATTCATTAGCAATATTTTGATAAGTTGAGTATAAGCATGGTGCAATTCAGCTGGTTTGAGTTCTGAGGATAACATTGAAAGCTTCACCAGCGCATTTGTATGTTCATCTTGTTCAATCAGTTGTTTCCAGAGTTTGCTTCTTTTTAATTACCAAATGTAGACATGATTCTTGATCAGAAGTGTTTCAGGGTAACAAGCTGCTCAACAATACAAATTATTTCAAGTTCCTATTTCTATAAAAAAGAATAATACAGAATGTCACAACTGCACTGAAGTTTTACGGAGTATTTACTTTTTCTTTGATTAGACATAAAATAAGGATACATTTAGAATGTGAAAATAGAACCAATCCTACTCTTTTGACCACGAGTAATAACAAAATAAAATTATGTGATTGAAGTTTGTGCATTGAAGATAAAAATAATAAAATCAAAAATTAATTGATTAAATGAGAATGTGACAAAGTTATAAGAGCACAAAGGGAGTATAAATATGTGCAAATCAAAGTGAGTGGTGCGTCTTCTACTGCTGTGCAAAAGAACTATGGAGTAATAGAATTTAGGAATTTTATCAATTGACGAACTTGGCGCACCTCAAAAAGTGCTGTGCGCACCTCAGTTTCGTATTATTTTGTTGACCATGCTCTTCAGCTCTTCTAAAAAAAGTGCTCTTTGTTTTACCATGCTCTTCCGTATTTTTTTTTGACCATGCTCTTTTAAGTTTTACTTCATACATATCAGTTTATTATTATCAAGTCCGTATTACATGGTTTGCTCTTTGTTTATTCCAAAAAGTAGACATGTTTGGTGGAATGCTCTCCATTGATTTTTTGACAGATTTTAGGAGTCTGTTTCGTAATGCTAAAATTAGCTAAATCGGCTGATTATGCTGAAATTTTCGAAATTGTGGCTCGATTGGCTGATTCTGCCGATTTATGAAAAACAATATATTTTAAAAAAGGGAAAAGGGTCAGATAGGGCCTCAAACTTACAAAAAAATGTCAAATAAGGCCTTATATAGGAGGTTCTGTCCGGCCGACGCCATTTAGGGAGGTTCCCGGTAGAATTTTTCAATAAAACTTTTTGAGCATCTTATTCATTGAGTCTAGTGTACTCATAGCAATTTTCATCTAAAACTTCAATCGGGAAGGCATTCAAATAAATTCTTGAAGATATGTGCGCAGTTAAAAGCTCAGTTATCTTCAAGAATTTATTTGGATGCCTCCCCGATTGAAGTTTTAGCTGAAATCTGGTATGAGTAAACTAGACTTAATGAATAAGATGCTCACAAAATTTCATCAAAAAAGTCCACCGGGAACCACCCCAAATGGCGTCGGCCGGACAGAACCTCCTATATAAGGCCTTATTTAACATTTTTTGTAAGTTCGAGACCCTATCTGACCCTTTTCCCTTTAAAAAAATATTAATAAAATAAATAAAAAATATATGAAAAATAGATAAAATGATCTTCTAAAGTAATTTCAACCAATAAAGCCGAAAAAGTAACTTCAACCTTACCTTTTCTTATTATTACACAATTCAACGCGCGAAATCAAAAGTTACGTATTTGGTGAAACGGTTGAATGACAAACCTTATAAGTCGAAAAACAGGATCACCAAACGAGTTCTAGATGTTTTGTTAGTGTCATGTGATTTTGGTTTCAATTGACTATTTAATGGATTCTCAAGGCCTTACCCTGAACTTTGGGAAGGTATAATTGTGAATCGCTTAAACAATTCTTTAGATTCTCAACGTTGTTTGTAGTCCTCAACGCTTGAAAATTTTGGCTGCCAAGCATGGTAAGCCGAATAACGAAGTCACCTTAACTTTTAGGTAACTAAATGAGCGCTTTTATTCGAGTAAAATAAAGTTGACATTACATATAAAATAAATAAAAACAATTAAAGTATGTTGAACATTTAAAAAATGTTTTAAAATTTTAGATATACATTATTGGTGTCATATGAAAGATTATAATGTTTTCTAATTTGATATATTTTTTGTAAAAAAATCTGAATGAAAAAGTTATAACAATTTATATACTTCTTTGTACAACTTTCAATCATACAATTTTTACTTTATTATTCTCCGCAAAGATTAAACTTGGCAAAGCTCAAAGGGATGGAATAAGTATAAACTAGAAAATATGATTAGCCACATGTCATCAAACCATTAGATGGTGTATCCGTTTTTTGAAGAAATTACTCACGTGTTGAGATAGCACCTAACTTTAAGGGATTATTATTTATTTGATCTTTTAGCAATTTTAGTTTAAGAAACTGTATTAATAAGAATATTAGATGAGAATCAAAATTGAGAAACACAACATCAAATACGGTAATTGTGTTCCAAATGTAAAAATCACTAATGCAATTTTTGGGATCTAATTTTGATTTTTTGAATTTCAAAATATATTTATATTTTTAGTTATTTAATCTTGATCCATAGATCATCAAAAGCAGGAATGACGCAATTAGGAGTAAAAAATAACTTTTAAAATAATAACACATAATTTAAAATTGTTAACTAATTTTGTGAAAATGAATAGATTTCTTAGAACATTACCCATTTAAAAAACAGGAGCACTTAAACATTGGGGCAGCTGTTTTAGTACTCCGTATAAAGAATTAAAAAAAGGACAAATATGTCATGTGAAGGTTACATTAAGCACTTTTGGGGTGCCCGAAGCAACTCCCATTCAGGATTGATAATTCATCTATCTTTCGGGTCCTGAATTGATAAAATTCCAATTATCAA